AAATACATCCTTCCTGACATGTGGAGATCAAAACTGCACACAGTATTCCAGTTGGGATCTCTGCAAAACCCTGTACAAATGTAAGAAGACTTCCCTATTCTGTACTCCAATTTCCCTGCAATAATTTGCCTTCCTAATTACAGATAAATCCTGAAAATGAAATCTAAAAGAGATTGTATTGTTGCTATGTGACATGTTGTTTTGGACTTCTATGGTACTGTGCCGACTGTAGGAGAAATACAGGACAGAGGTCATGCTCTGAAGTTGTGAAGCTTAATTTTGTGTCCCAGGGCCCATGAATACCTCCGCGGAAAATGAAGTGTGCCACAAGTTTGCACTGACTTGGGCAAATAGTCCCAGGTCAATGAGTGAGAGTGGTTGGGTGAAGTCTCAAATGCAGGTTACAAAGAACAAAGGTTTACAGTTCTGGAATAGACTATCTGGGAATTACAAGGAATGAATAGTGGAGAAAATAGACAGAAAGATGCTGGCTAAACTCAGCAGTTCTGGTTGCATCTGTGGAGAGAATAACAGAATTAACATTTCGAGTCCAATATAGCTTCAGAACAGATAACGGGATATGTTTCTGGAAACAGGAGTTGATGAGCACAGTGAGAGGAAAAATGAGTGTGATCAATCAATCCAGAGACAGCACTGGATGTGTTTAATGGTCTCTCCCTCTTCCTAAAACAACCTTCTGCTCCTGAACTAATTGGTTTTCTGTCATAGCACCTACTGGTTTGGTGTCAGGCTGACATTAGCAGATACGTTCATGTCTGGTTAGAATACAAACCATTGCCTAATGCACCAGTTACAATAATGAACAGAAAAATGTCAATCTCTGCTATTCAAGTGATGTGGGATCTTGGTGTCATTTGTAGCTCAATGGGTTGCATTCTTGCCTTTAAGTCACAAGATTGTGTATCCAAATTCCACTCTGCAAATCTGAGCACGATATCCAGAGTTCAGTGCGGTCATGAAGGAGTGTTGCATTGTCACAGTCTTTGTGTGAAATGTGAAACTGATGCCCTGTCTGCCGGACATGAAAGATGCCATAGCAACATGGGCGAGTTAGCAGGAACATCGTAGCCAATATCTATCCATCATAGCATCACAGAAAGTAGATAATCTGGTCAGTATTATATTGCTGGTTATGGGGGTTTGCTGTGCCCAAATCAGTTATGTTACAACAGTGACTACATGTCAAATTTATTTAACGGACTATCCTTTTTAATATTATGTCTTTGCTAACAACATACCACCTAATTTCTTTTGGAGTACACAATGATTTGTTTAAGTGCACAGCCCTATTAAATCTTCTTTTGCACAGCAGCACATTTGACTTGCAAAGGGACTGTGCAGCTGTGCAGTTTAGAGGGAATGGTGTTTGTGAAAGGAACTACATAAATGCAAGTTCTTACTTTCAAGATAGAAGGGCTGTGCAAAGTTAAAACATGTGTAGAGTACAGATTAGAAGTCACCAATTGACATCTCAGTACTGTTTGTGGAATCCTACTGTGCACAGTCAGCTGTTACATTTGTCAATTAAAAAAAAAGTCACTCTGCACTTGTACACTGGTGTGTCATGAAACAAGCTTGATGATAAACAAATATAATCTCCCTCTTCCTTTACTCTGGATCGATGTGGTTTCAGACATGATTTGTAGGGTTTGCTGGACACTCTCTCAGCCCAGTTCAAACCCAATACAAACACACAGTACACACTCATAAACACACTGTCACCCACTGACCATCACTCCCTCACCTGACCCTCACTCACTCACACTGGCCCTCACTCACACTGGCCCTCACTCATTCACACTGATCCTCACTCACTCACACTGACCCTCAC